ATTTTCTTAACGTCAGCGTTGAAACCGTAAGAGTCAGCGGTGTATTCGACGATACGGGTGGAACCGTCGGCTTCGACGAGGCTGTAGGATCCCTTTACGTTGCCGTATCCGTCACTGGATTCTTGTTGGCTGTGGATGTCGTAGGTGTGTGGGTCGTTTACGGCATACTCGAAGCTGTACGGGGCTGGAGCGTAAGCGGGTTCCGGAGCGTAAGCCTTTGGTGCGGCGTAAGCGGGTGCGGCGTATCCTTGAGACGGGTAAGCCGGGGCGGCGTATTGAGCGAGTGTAGTGGCCACGCAGGCGGCGAAAATGATCATCTGAAAAACGGAAAGAAAAAGTTATATAGGTTAAAAATAAAAACGGTGTTAAATTAGGTTGTTCTAATTATTTTTTTTTTTTTTTATTCTGTAAAAATCGATCGATCGTCAAAATTTTGTAAACGTATCAAGCGGAGGCTGTAAATACCTTGGCGGCCATTTTATTTGTATGTTTTGAAAATCTTGGTCGTTCTGGATAGTTCAATCGACTGTAACTGATAGCTCTTCGCTCATGATATTCGGTATTTATGCTGACGGATTATTGTGATTCCGTCCCTTCTCTATTTGTCAAAATATCGATCGTCGAAATGTAACGTTTAAAAAACCAGTCTTTCACAATCCATAATTATATATTTAAGTAGGTTCTACACTAATTTGGTTACCGCCCTTTTGCTAAAGGATATGAATAACCAATAAAATATTCAGCTATGAAATTAACGCATTAATTTTCATGATCATAAATGATGTCACCTTACGATATTTTTGTTTGATTTTGTTGTAAATATAAATTTAAGTATGAAACTTTTGGATGGGTTGAATTTTATACGTTTTCATGAAATTTTGTATTGAAGGATTTATCGATCAAAATTTGTCAATTTGACTGATTTCGTAACCTTCAGATTTACCTTATATAAAATATTATGCATATTATGCACTATTATTTAATAAATCTTTATCGTTTGACTTGATTTAATTTTTACAATATTCAAGTATTTGCACCTTTTATCTAAGGTTTAATTAAAAATAGAAAGAATTATGATATTGTCCTTGGATTCAGTGGAAAAGTACCAATGAGAAAAAGAAATATTGTCTATCCAGTTTTTGACTGCATGTATATTGTATAATTTGGTATTTTACATTTAAAATTTCATAATTCTATTATTTAATAATGCTTATCATTACTCTATTCAGCATTGAAGTATAAATATATATTAATCGTACAATAAACACACACATGTTTTTATTTTTGTCGCGCAGCAACAAATCCAAACAACCCAGATAAGCCCATTAAGGCACTCAGGTACTATGTCTCATAAACAATTAAAGCTGTTTACACACTACGCGTTTTAGACCCTAACGTACCCGTTTTAAAAACGTAATTTGTAATTCCCTACACGTATGCACTTTTTTTAATCTCAATATCTGTAACGATTAACGATGTATTTACATCTAATGAAAAGTGAAAGTACATTTGTACATTTTTGTGTCTTCATAGGTTGTGGTCAATAAATAGTATCGATATTGCGATTAGGTATACTAGTCCCTCCCCAAAAAAAAAAAAGAACAAAGTGCAGATTTAACATTTATTGATAAAATGATCAATTCTTTCGCAGAAACAAAAAATAGAAAATAAAATTAACTTACATAGTGATATAAGTATTAAAAAATGTTTATAATTATTATAATGAATCAATTAAAATAGTGTTAATTACTACCTCCTAACTATATATTACCGTTCAAATTAATTATTTTAAATTTTGTATTCCTTAATATAGAACTCAATCTCCGCTACTGCTTGGTTTTTCAACACTATTTGCACCAGTTAACATAGGAATGGTACATAAAATGACTGTATCTTTTTTTTATACTTGACATAAAATATTTAATATTTTTTTTTTTTTTTACTTAGAGTTTTATGAGTTCTTTATTAAAACTATCTGGTATTTAGCAAAAACAAAAATTTGAAAACAGGTATTGATATAGTATCCATAGATTATTATTTTATTTAAAAATTAAAAAAATTAATTTTGGTATATAGTGATATATCAAATGGCTAAATATTTTTTCTATAATTCTAGTTTGCATTTGAACTATTAAAAATCTGAAAGAAAATATGAACTTTTTAGCATATTTAGTATAATAAACAAATATGTATATAATTTTATACTATACTTGGGTTTTGTATAAAAAATTATGACTTTATTTGAATATTAAAAAATATTTTTAGTATTTTGATAATCAAAATCTTTTATTTGTAAAAAAAATACCATTCTTATTTAGTAGTAATTGATTTTAAATTGTAACTATTTTCATATTATTTGTTATATATATATATTTATACGTAAAAAATGAAATTCGGTAATGTCTTTCGTGTAAAATGTTTGAACAATATATTATATATTTATTTTACATTTTTTTAGTTCCGTAAATTGAAGAAGGAATGATTTTATTATTTAATAGTATGTTTCTATCGGAACTCTAAATGGTAAAAAGTAAAAATATAAGACTACCACATATAATTTTAACTAAAAACATAACGTACGCATTGGTAATTTTTGTTACTAGGTGAAAATGCCTTATAGTTGTATAATTAATTTTTTAAAGGATTTAGTTCAAACAATGTAAAACCACTCCAGAAGATTGTGTTCTACGCATAGCTGTAAAAAAATTGAAATAATTAACATAGTAGTGAACTGACGATTTCAAGTATTTACACAACCAGTTTATAAAATTATTGATCATGATAAGAATTATAGTCGAAATCACATTGTGAAGACGAATAATATACAACAAAGGCGTATTGTTTTATTTTATAATACGCTATTTATTAATAAAATAAATATATGGACAACAGAAAGAATTAATAAGTTTTATGATAGCCATAACGAAAGACACTATACTTGTATAATTATGTAGTACGCCCTGAACGGGATTGGTTTTTTGACGCTGACACGGGCGTGTAGTTGAACACGATGGTGCATGAGAGCCTTACTTTTTTTACTTTGGCTTTGAAATCGTAATGGTCGGCGGTGTAATCGACGATCTTCATGGTGCCGTCGACTTCAATCAAGCTGCAGTACTTCTTCACGGGCTTACTATCGCTAGATTCGGTTTGGCTTTTCGTATCGTTACGGAGTATTCGAAGCTGTACAGGATTGATGGATAGGTGAGCTAGGGTGCGTAGCCCTGGACGTCAGGTAGGTAGGCGCTAACGGCTAGGACACGGATTCTTAGGAATGTGCACCGTGTTCTGCCAAAGCGATGGATACGCAAGAAGTGACGAGAATGGTCAGCTGAAATAATTGACGATCAATGAAAATATAAGATTGTTCAAAGCAGAAATTAAATAAAACGGTCAAATATCGTTTTAAAGTAAAATGTAATAATGTAAAAAAGATTTTTTCAGTCTTATTTTTGCAGTTACTTTATGCGTTTAGTACCATATGCTAATATAATATATATGTTTAGTGATATTTAGTAACGTGAATTAATTCGAACAAATGAACATTGGTGTCTTACCACTACATTTTTGCATCATTTAATTATAATATCAGAGATCTTATATCCCTTCAATAGGCGTGATCAGACTTTGGTAGCCGAGGGAGCATAACAAGTGTTTAAATCATGAGATTTTTTTTTTTTTTAATGAAAAAATATTAATTTTTTTTATAAGAAATCTGAAATTAATTTTTTTTAAATTAAAAACACAAAGTTTAACCATTGGCGAATAAAAACAATGAAAATAAATTTAAAACTAAAATAATAACACATACGTAATACAGCTATACTTAACTGTCGGTACTGAATGTAGACAGCATAGACTTTATTTACTCTGATATAATTTTGTTGGAAGTATAGTCTGGTAGGGGGTAGGGCAGTGCACACCCGGCCATTCCGTAAACACACCTATGTTCTTTTTCAATTATAGTATGATCGTCTAAGAATATATTTTTATTTTATCGAATCTGTTGGTCAATCTAGTACATCGATTATATTATAAGTAAATTTGTGCGTGGAAAGGGTACAAATATCTGTAAGTATATATAAATTCTAAATATTATAGTAATTTACCACCTATTCAAATGATAACGCAAGTGAATATTTCCAAGTAGTACAAATATATTACAAACGCATATATAATTTCTGCTATTAAAATATATAAATTAAATGGTAGTTTTTTTTTTTTTTTTTTTTTTTTTAATAATAGTTTAATACGAATTTGTAAGACTTATATCAGCAAAAATTCTGGCAATTAAAAAAACTATTAAAAAAATATATAAATTCTTCATAACTATAGCAACTAAAGTATGTATACTCGTGTTATTAATTAAATTGTTTTTCTTCAATTAAATATATAAATATAATTTGAATACTAACTAATGCATGTAATTCAATAAACATAAAGGATCAGGAATACAAAAAAATTATTTTGGCTCAATTTTTAAAAATATTTCATAAATATAAAAAATGGTGGTACTAAGATTTGTGTACATTATTCGTTGAGGCAATAAATCCCAAAAAAACCTAGATAAATTCAAAATTTTAAAGTTTTTATTTTGATTGTTATTATCTATTGAAAAATTTTGTATAAGGAATGAGGATTCTACACAATTAAAGCACAAATTAAAATAACTAAAACTTTAAAATATATAGTAAATACACTTCTTATAATATAATATTTATACAATAAATACATAAATTATAGAGTATCCATTGTCATATATATTTACATGGCAATGTATATGCATTGGAAACCACAGAACAATATAAACGAAGTGGCTCAAAGGTGTTTGAAAAAAGAAAGAAAGATTTCGAAGAAAAATTATGAGTAATTGGTATCACATAGTTATGAAAATTAGTATGCTGG